TTTTGTGATCAATCTGATTTCCACATTAATTTGTGAGGTTTATTTCAGCTTATCGAGGGAAAAACTGGCATGTTTTCATCATTTCTGTGTAAAATCAGTTCCTATTTTCAGAGGATTCTTCATCAAACTGAGCAGTGAGACGCTTTAAGCCTCATTTTGTCCTCTCAGGGTTAAACTGAGTCTGTTTTTGGTTTGAAATCGACCTCTTTCCAGTTCCTGAACTCATCTTTCCACTTCTGTCTGTAACACCTGCTGGAACAGAGCTTGTTTAGTAACGATCCACAGCTCAGAGTTCCAGCTTTTAGTCGACTGGTTTCAGCTCATCAGCTCAAAGTTTCCTCAAGTTTATCCAGAAATAGCCCATTAAATGGAGCCATTTGTGTCCTTTTAGGCAGTTAGATGGAAGAAAAACATTCAGGACTCATCAGAACCAGGAGCTTAAAGCTGTAAACTGGAGCTGAAACGACTTCAGAAGTGATTGAAAACCTGTTTCAGTATTCAGTGGAGAAGCTTTTTGTTTTTTTTCTGCAGCTTTTGAGCAAAGTAAGAGGACTTTCAGTGTCGTTTAGGAGAAAATTAGAGCTGATTTTGGAAGGAAAAAGGCAGAAAATGTGATTCTCTGGACTCTGGTTTGGATCAGAAGCTCAGATTTTGATGGTTTCTGTCAGAGTTTAACCAGCAGAGCAGCAACAGGAGGGTTAATCCGTTTGTTTTTTTGTTTTTCCAGGCGCCCGAGCTGTTTGAGAACAAGCCGTACACAGTGACGGTGGACTACTGGAGCTTTGGCACCATGATATTTGAATGCAGCTGTGGTTTCCGCCCCTTCCTGCACAACCTGCAGCCCGTGCAGTGGTGAGATCAGATAAGAGCTGCTGCCAGCCCGTAAAGCACAGCTTTCTAACACTCAGCAGCTTTTTCAGCGTCGGATGTTTCCCGTTTTTGCCTTAAAGGGGACATATTATGCAAAACCAAGTTTTTAATCATGTGATTGTGTACATTTGGGACTGTGGAGGGCCTATCAGCAGGCAAAGTATGAAGAAAAATGACTCAGTCATGTTTTTGTGGGCTGCCTCAGTCTGAATCCAGGAGATAAATCAGGAGGTTTCAGGAGTGGGTAGTTTCTGACGTCATTAGCTCTAGCTCATTATAATATTCCAGCCTTTCACCTGCATGTTGCCCCCCCCCCTCAGCTTACTCCCCTATCTGTGGAGACGTCCTGGTAGCGTGAGCGTTAGCATGGTAGCGTTAGCATGGTAGTGTTAGTATGGTAGCATTAGCATGGTAGCGTGAGCATGGTAGCGTTAACATGGTAGCGTTAGCATGGTAGTGTTTGCGTGCCGACGTGGGCACACCTCCCTGAAGAAGTGGGTGGATTGCCTGTGTCTCATTTGCATTTAAAGAGACAGGCACTCCAAAGCGAGCGCTCTGAACGGGGTTGTTTTGGGTTAGGGTTAGGGTTAGGGTTAGGCAGGGGGACTGAACTGCTATTGGGCTTCATCCTTATGGGATTTTGACCAAAGCTTGTCACAGACATTATATCAGGACACCAGGGAAATAGCTTAACTTGTTGAAATAGGGTATAATATGTCTCCTTTAAATCAGCTCAAAACCTGCCTGTTTCTTATTGTAGCTCGATTCTTTCCAAATCTGACGCTTTTAAACGGCCTTCACGTGAGAGAGAGAAGCTCTGAGGGAGTTATTTAGGTTTTTATAATGTTATTTTTTTATCATTCTGTCTGGTTTTGCCACCACAGGGCCAGCAAAGTGAGGAATAAAGGTCCAAAAGACATCATGGCTGTGGAGGAACCCAACGGGGAGGTCCGGTTCTCCACCCACCTCCCGTACCCCAACAACCTCAGCAGGTGAGCTGCAGCCTGTAGGAGCCTCGGTTGGATATCAAACTCCTCCCACATCCAAGTCGGCCATTTTGATTAGGTCATGTGACTAGCAGCTTTCTGAGGTGGAAACGAAACTTTACTGTCCATACGAAATCGGAAGACAAACGATGTCATAACCCTAACCCTGATCCTAACCCCCTAAACCTAATCCTAACCCTGACTTTAAACCTAACCCTGACCCTAAAACTAATCCTAACCCTAACCCTGACCCTAAACCTAAACCTGACCCTAACCCCCTAAACCTAACCCCAAACCTAAACCTGACCCTAACCCCCTAAACCTAACCCTGACCCTAACCCTAACCTTACCCTAAACCTGACCCTAACCCCCTAAACCTAAACCTAACCCTGACCCTAACCCTAAACCTGACCCTAACCCTCACCCTTCATACTTGTGAGAAATAGTCCTAAATATATTTTGGACTTATTGTACAAACCTATTTAACATCCACTATTTTAACATAATATTATGGATAGAGTTTAATTCAGTGTTTGCTAGATTCATTTCCCTATTTTTAAATTAATCTCTATATTGCCATGAAGCAATTAGGACTTTCTTTCCTGGGATCTTCCTATTGGTGACCTAATAAAATGGCCGACCTGGATGTGGGGGGTTGGATATCCGGGGGCAGGCTCTGATCCCGGGTGTGTGTGTCAGGACGCTTTTGGAGCAGATGGAGGCGCTGCTGCAGCTGATGCTGAAGTGGAGCCCGGAGCAGAGAGGAGGCCGAGTGCACCCCGACACCCGCAGGCCGCTCTGCTTCGAGCTGCTGGAGGAGATCCTGAGCATGAAGGTACCAGCATATCAGAGCATGTGTTAAAGTTTAAAGTTATTTATCTACTTACTTAG